ATTTTTAATTATAAGAAGAAATAATGAATATATATATATATATAAAAACATTAAATCTGATTATACTATGTACCAATTTTTTCTCTGAGGCCTTTCCCTTTGCGAGGAAATGCCACCCCACCACTGTAGCTAGCCAACTCATTTAGAAATTAGAAATAGAAAATAAGAAGAAAGGGAAGAAGAAGAAGAAGAAATAAAAGGCATGTTTGCTCGTACAAAAATGATATCACGCTTGCAAGAATAATTTGATTATGCATGCTCTTCTTATCATGGAACTTACTATTCATGGTGATAGATATATGTAAGAATATTTAAAAAAAAAAAACATGAAATGGCTCTACCAAAATTCCCATCCCTAGGATTTGTGGCCTAACTCATCCAATGGTTAATCAGTAATCTTTTTTTATGGTACGTTAATTAGCAACAAAAAAAGTTATGCAGTTATGGATCACCATCCCTAGATCAAATTTGAACAGACAATAATAAAGATAAACACAAACGTAGGATATGGTCCAAAAATAAGTGGCAAGCAATGTATACCACATCCAATATAATGATGACATCATTATTTCACTCATATAAGTTCATTTTCCTCAACCCCTTACACTATGTTGATTTTTGTATTTAAAAAAAAATTAAAAATAATCTCTATAATAATATTAAATGTGCTTTCAGTAATTTCTATTGCTTATAAGATTGTCATTCATGATTCTAATTATAATATATACTAAAAGAAGTAATTTTGTATATATATAGACACACATCATTTTGGGTGATAACCGTATGCATATAAAGTTTAATTAAATAAAAAAGTTGGTTTCTTTTTTCAGAAAATGTTTGTAAAAAGAGCAAAGCAGAGTCACTTGTTTGATTTGATAGCTTCATATATTAAGCATAGTAATTGATGAATTCATTGTACATTTCCACTCCTTCCCGTGTGAAATTAAGGCAAATTGGGATGGAATTGGACCATATAATTAGAACTAGAGTCTCCCTAGTCTGAAACCAAGAAAAACCAAATAAAATTATGACAAGATCCCCACATTGAGGTTATGGAGAAACCTGAACAATGATTTTGCTAGGTTTTGTGGATTAGAGCAGGCAGACATTCATTGGAAAGAAGAGTTTCCAGTAGCATATGTCTTGACATAAATTTGAAAGCACATGCGTGTTCATGTAGTCAAAGCATGAATATGTGCTTTTGGTAAAGATTGCAGTTCATGCAATGATGCTTTCCTGACTTAGCTAGGTGCCATCAAAATAAAAACTTACCTGCCAACTACATGTTTAAAGTCACATTTGCTTTGAATGTCTTCTGGTTCTGGTCTTTATTTAGATGCCAAAGGTTTGTATGCGAGGAATCCTCCAATAAGGGCAAGTAATTTACGCGTGAACCTTTTGTTGCAAAATTTATGATTAATGGTAATGTAAGTGTCTGGAATTTGCAGTACAACACAGCAACTTTGCATAAAGAAAAACCGAGTTAAAACTTGAAGAGGTCAAACCCACAAGCCTACGACATTCCATTCTCAACAGGCTACACAGCATCTTTATATATATCATTTCCTTGTTAGGAGGTGGTCCATTGATCCAAAAGAAGCCATGAAGGGCTAGTTGAAACATCAGGTATAATTCAAGACCATCACGCAAGAGGGCGTATACATGAAAATGGAAAGCAAGTTGAAATATCATGAAAGTAGGAAACGTGATTAGCTTGAGGGTTATGGCATGCTCGTGGACCATCATCTCTCCCCTCAAGAACATATATTTTTCACAATCTAATCCACAATCAGTCAGAATCTGACAGATATGATAAGAGACTTAAGGATATTAAACTTATTGTAATTTGGAACAATATGTAATTAAACTGATTGTGCTTTGGAGCAATCAGGGCAGCAAAAGCGACCTCTAGCTTGACACTTAGAACATCTAATGGTCTTCACCTTTGAGTCGCCACCAAGTGACTCGTACATATCATCTATAAAGGTAAAACTCAATGCTCCACCTTCTTTGACCAAGCCAGTTCCTTTACATCCTGAGCATGCTATCATCCTTAGATCACCACATCTCTTGCACATCCCCAGAGAACTGCATATTCAAGGAGTTGCACATACAACAAGTAAGGAGTGGAATTACATTGAACGATACATAATTACTAAAATTGTGTCAGCTCAGCAATGAATGTTATGCATTTTCCACTATAGACCTAAATCTGATTGAATATTATTGCACAGAAGGATGCCAGTATGCCACCTACCAGGATGCAAAAGTAAAGTAAAAAAAAAAAAAAAACAATTAGCCACCCACCAACATTCAGTTAACAATGGAGAAGTGAAGATTTTCAAGAACTTCTACCCTCAATGCTTGAGCCCTGTTTTCTGCGTTCATATGCATGCCACATTGCGTGTGTGTGTTACTTATGCAACAGAACACACACAGCAAGCGGATAGAAGTTCTATCTGCAAAGATAAATTTTAGCCTCTTCATTTCTACCACTGTCCTATGTGATTCAGATCACAGCCAAATTCAGGGGGCACGTTCTGTTTTATTAAGCAGAACCACTTCTCTTGTTTGAAAACAAGTAGCACAATCTTTCTTAATTTGCGAAAGGTTTGCATAATAAAAAACCTTGTAGCATTTATAGACATTATATTGCACTTTGACTAGGTTGTAATTCCGGTTTCTCAAACAGTGAGGACAATGCCCCCCAAGGTTCTGGAATACAAGAAGGCCTGGAACAAAGCAAAGTGGTTACAACAAGAGAGAAAGAATACGAGGATATGGACATTGTCATAATTGAAATTTCCAAGTCCATAAGTGCAAGAACGTGTATCCTACCATCTTAAGAAAACTAACAGACACGACTGTAGGTGGTGATATTGGAAATCATTATAATGGCCGTATGCACAAATAAAGTCACAATTGCATCTGGGATAATACAGTATGTTTTCTTTTCAGAGTTGCCAAAGTCTGATTCTCTACATTAATCGCTAGTTCAAATTGCTATTAAAGCATTTACATTAAACATACTTGATAGCCACTAGAAATTAATAGAACCACGAAAACATCTTGAATGTAACAACATTGGGAATGGAACCTCTCCTCAAATAATAGTAAGTATAAAGAAGAGTTAACCTACAGTTGAGTTGATCCTATAAATGCAAAGACCAAAAAAGGATAACAGAACTAAGCTAGAACATAGTTGCAATCCAAGCTCCTCTTGACCTAATACATAAAACATGGTTATAAAAGCTCGAGCCAGCACTGTTCATTTACCAATCTAAAATGGACAAGACCAATCTCTACATTAAGTAAAAACTAAGGTACTCGACAATGCTGAATAAAGCACCAAGGAAAGAAGTAGAAAAAATCTTCAAGCTAGGAAGAACAAGACTTGAACATCTTGAATTTTCCTCACAGTCAAGCTCCCATCTTTCTTGCACGACTCTAGATCCAATTTTCCATGTTAAGTTGTAAGCGCAACAAAATATGTCCCATAAGATACTACCTGTAAAATTATGTTAAGAACTTAATCTTTGCTGATTTTTAGCAAGTAGACAATAGCTACTCTCCAGAACTTTTTTCTTCTCAATCTTCCATTGCATACTCACCAATTGATACAGTGACCCAAGTTTCATTTTACTCAGACTAATTAGACAAAACACAACGAAAACAAAATGGGAACAACTATAAACCTATCAAAACTCAAAAACAGAGAAAAACAGCATCGTTGTACAAACGAATTTTCCAAGCTTGTAGCAATCAAAGGTAACAATTCAAAGAAATGGTAACTTAACTTGGTGCCATGTTAAGCAACTATAATAAACCAGAAATAGCAGCAAAAGGAAGACATTTTTGTTTACCTTCTTTGTGAAGCAGAGATGAAAGAGTCAATCTTTGGGGCAGAAATGGTTGCACATAAAAGCAAAGCTCCAACACCAAAACCTGCTACTTCACTTGCTGTTAAGTTATTCATCTCCTCCTCTTCTTCTGTCGCTCACACAGTCCTTCCTTTCTACTAAGATGTTCAATTCCTCTCCCACCACAAAAAACGTATCGGATATCATTTGCTACTTATTGTAGTCATATAGCATATTCCTACCCGGAAACAAAATGGCCTATTAGCTCAGTTGGTTAGAAGAGTCCTTCCTTTCTACAAAGCTGTTCAATTCCTCTCCCACCACAGAAAACGTATCGGATATCATTTCTTTCTAATTGTATTAATATAGCATATTCTGACCTGGAAATAAAATGGCCTATTAGCTCAGTTGGTTAGAGCGTCGTGCTAATAACGCGAAGGTCGCAGGTTCGAAACCTGCATGGGCCACTTATTACTTTTGCTTGTATTTTTTTTATTTGGATTTGGGCGAGCCCATGGAAAAGCCCACACTTTTTGCCCACTTATCTTGGGACTTATCCCTATAATCTTTTTTTATCTTTAAAAAATACAGCTATTATTTTTTATCTTAATATTATATATTATAGCGTCACATATTTTCATCTATGAGTGTCACTAACACAGTCAGAAATTGAGATTTTTCATGTGTTCACATTATTTTCTCGTTATTTTTACTTCTTTAATTAATTCCCCGAGCTTAACCTAAATTAAAGAAGAAAAAGGAAAAAAAAAACTATGATTGCATCATATTCCTATCATTCTTGTTCTTCGGTTATTCAAGTGTTTTTACTTTTATTTTCTCATATTTCATAGATATATTATTTTTTTATGATCATATCATATATTTATTATTAAAAAAATTATTTGTTTCTTTTTGGCGCGACTAATACTAGATCATAAGTATAATTAAACGAAAAAAAAATGGATACGATGTTATAATCAAATTAAGGAAGAATAAGAACATTATTTATTTGAGGTGTTCTCAGTTTAGGGAACAAGTAGTGTCATTTGCTTATCTCACTAGACCCATTTTCGATTTGATTTTTCCCAGAGTTTTTGAGCATGCAATTACAACTCCCACATGGTCTGTAATAATTCGAGCCTATGGATGATCATCTAAGTTCCAAAAGCCACCCCATAGTCTATTATAATCCTCTACCACAGAATCTGCCCAAGATACAACATCTTGAGACATCACAGGCAAGCATTGATCCTCCAAAGTGGGGTACATAATCTCTGGTGCTTCAGGCATCTTTTCATGAGCAATGGTGTTGACCATTTTCACGTCACCAGCTTCTAGCTGCAGCAGGTGTTGCTGGTGTTCCTCTTCCTGTTTGAGGATCTGAGCTTTTCTCTTTTCTTGTTTCTGAGAGGATGTCTCTTTCTTTTTGGAATGTGTTCTCCAGTAGTTCTTTATCTCATTGTCTGTTCTTCCAGGCAAGTATCTAGCAATAGTTGACCACCTAGATCGATATGTATGAAATATTAACACCAGTCTACAAAGAACGAAGACAGACAGGAAAAAGAAAAGGAAAGATATTATAAACGGTGAGATCAACTGCATTACTTGTTTCCCAAGAGAGCATGCAGTTCAATGATGATGCCTTCCTCTTGAGGTGTTATTTGGCCTCTCTTAAGTCCTGGCCTAAGGTAATTCACCCACCTCAGCCTGCAGCTCTTCCCATTCCTGTTCAAACCTGGTAAGAAAATCAATCGTAAGTAATCAAAGCTAAGCACTAAAACAATCAACGAGAAAATTACACTTGGAAACCAGTTAATGCATGCGCATGTTAAAATGTAATATCACAAGCAGAAAACACGATCACTATCTGCTAATGAATGATAAAATCTAAATTCTATATATCTCTTCTTTCTATCTGTAATCTGTATCTCCCTTTCATATAGCAAGTAGGTGGTAATGTTTACTGTGATTGCCATTGCCACATCAAGCTAGCTAGCTAGCAAGAAAGCTTACCTGGCCACCTAGAAACAGAACTCCATCTCCCCTCGCCATGCAAGCTCACGTATTCAATAAGCAATTTATCCTCTTCAGGAGTCCAAGGACCTTTCCTCCACCCTTGCTCAGGAATTCCCCAACCCATCCTTGCTACCATGTTGCTTTAAACTGTTTTATATGTTGTCTCCAATTTGCATGACACAAATGAACACAGGCTTCCCATATATATACCCCCCTCAATCAGACATGCAGCTTGAATCCTTAAAGTTATTTAACATATTGCAATGATGAACTGATAAGCACAAATATCTTTCTCCATTATTTTTGCTTCAGGCGGTGCAATCATTCCTTCCCTCCTCTAATCTGAATCCAAGTGTTTCTATAAACTTACCAGCTCACTATCGCTTACCCAATCAGCATGGCACAGTTATCTTTACTAAATCTTTGCTGTCGTACTGCATATCACCAGCATAAATCCAGACTTCAACATCATTGATTCCATGTCTTAATTCAAGATAGACAGCTTGTTGTCTAGGATAATGAGATTGTAGAGACAGCATGATCTTGATTTAGCCAAAAAAAACATTAGTGGGTTGTTATTTCCTCGAAAACAGCTTGTGCTCCAATGCCATGGCACCATGTGTTGACATAAACTATCCTTAAATCCATGCCTAAGAAATTGTTTAATGTTAATAAAGTATATTTTATTAGTTAATGAAGCTTCTAGGATGCCATATAATTAAGGTAATGGGGTATTTAAATATGCCCAAAAGTACAGTCGCCATAGATGAGTCACCTAAGCTATATCTGCCTCTGGGATGACTACAAGTACCATTTTTATAGAGTGTTAGGGCAAAAATAATTTGTTAGACTTAATATTTTATGTGGTAAATGCCTAGGTATTGATGGTTAAGAGAAATTATTTCATTAATTAATATAGAGGTACAGTATTCGAGATCTTGTTAAAGAACGTGAAGATTATGTCCTGCTAAGCAAGCTTGATTTGCTAGTGCGAAACGGAAGTGGAAAGCATGGTCTTCTCTTACGCAATAATATTCTTTGAACATAACCTCTCCATATTACGACCAAAGCACCTACTTTTCTTTAACACAAAGTGAACCATCCATGTGTTCCATAATGATTCGAAGAAAGCCAAGTTTGAACTTCAAAATGATAATCATCGGATTTAACAATTTTAATGATATAAATTTTTATTGGTATTTTTACTTATTAGCTTATCGATACATATATTATTAATTAGCTCATGAATAAAAATAATATGTTAAAAAAATTTTTGTCAATAATTTAGATTTATTAGTGAGTCTATCAGTAATAAATAATATATTAATAAATTTATAAACAAATAAAGCACATTAAAAAATTACTCTTTTCATTCTATTAGTATTTCTATGAGTAAATTTTACATATCATCAACAGAAAAATCATATATAATATCATCGGTGTTTTTATTTGTTTTTCAGTATATTTATCTATAAATATAACATATCATTAACAGAATACAATTTATAACTCTATCAATAATATTTTAAAAAATATATATATTGAAAAAAAATAGAAAAATAATTAAAATAATATAAAAATCAAATAATTATTAAATATTTAAATATTTTTACATTCACATACAATAAATTTAAAATAGAGGCAGCGCCGAAAGAAGAGGAGAATGAGAAGGTTGGTTGTCATTGAAACCGTGGGCCAATCAGGAGATGCACATGTACCACTCATATGTGATTTTATCTTCACCATTAATCAACAGAACTTTTCATTATCAGTAGTGAGTTGTTCATATTGTTTGTTAAAATGAGTTGTCCAAGCACTCATTGGTCTAGCATCGTTGAACTTTAAAGTTTGAGTGCTCAAAATTAATTATGAGCATCCAATGGTTGAAATACTATGGGTCGTTCGCAAGTTTTCAGTCATAATGTTAAAAAATCCGTACACTTGATTTTTATCGAGGCCATCAAATTATCCTACCTCCAACCACAAATCCAGATCGATATCTGGATGCGTTGAAGGATTATACTTGTATCTCTCATTCAACCAGCTATTATATATATCTTAGGATGAAAAATAAATTCATCAAATTCAAGATAATAATAACTTAAGAAAAAAATGATTGAAAACCAACTTATCATAAACTGTTAAGCTCGGTTATTCACGAATTACTATACCCCTTTTAGGCGGTCATCACTTCATACATGAATTTCAATAAAAAGCTTCATCAAGCTTGGCTCGCATCCAAGAACCATAGCCTGCAAGATAAAAATATTATCAATTAAATATATTTATAAAAAAACTAATAAAAAAATAGATGTAATAAAAAAAATCCTACCATCTACTTTACATGTGAAATGAATAGAAAGGACTTGCTGCTATATGTGGTAATGGAACCTTAAACATGCCAGTTCTGATTTTTCATACCAGAATGTAACCATCACGTGAAACACGCAGACATCACATGCTAAATATATATGTTTCACCCAAATAACCTTTGAAACGTATGGTGGTTTGAAATCCTTCTAAAGCGCCATATTATTCTAACTTGGAAGCTCTCTTTCTTTCATATATTTTTTTAGTTTTTTTTGTACCTTGTACCAAAAATCTGCATTCTATATGATATAAATTAATTGCAGCATGATTCTCCTAAATCTTGTGAACCAACTTTCTTTGGTTACCTCTCCTATTTGGTCAAATAGCTTTCACTCCTTCCTACTTAGTTATAAGAGGTTGCATGGCCTCCTAGGAGCTTTTTAATCATAGCAGGAGCTTTCGGGAATCACTTTGCAAGTCAAGATCATAAAAAGAGGGAAGAATAAAGGCGAATTTTTTTATTAAAAGAAGACAATTCCAAAACAAAAGAGACTAAAAACAAAGAATAAGATGATTTAAAGGTAAGGTAAATAAGAAAAGTTATAAATAAAAAAGAAAATAGTTGTTTAGCCCATTAAAAATAAAAGGTTAGCTTAGGTTAGGAAAGAAGAAAGGAGATTTTTCAAGAATACTGAAAGGGTACAGATTCAACTTGGGAGTTCTCACTTGGTCTACTAATCTAGGTCCCCACCTAATTTTTAATAGAACTCATGATCTTTTTTGTTGTAAAAGCCAACATTTATCGGACTACAATTTTTTTTATTGTTACTTACTATTTGAAAAGTAAATTTATGCTCAATTGGATTGGTTAAACCATCTTGCAGTATTATTATCATCTCTCTCTCATTCAAGATTTCTTTGAAGTAAAAATTTATAAAAGAAATTTTTCTTTAATTTCAATAAACTAACCAAATTAATATAAAAAAATATTTAAAAAACTTTTAATCTTGAGCCTTGAAAACCATGCATTGACCTACAATTTTCATTTAGGATGTTTGAAAATTGACCTATGGTTTTCATTTAGGATGTTTGAAAACCTAACTCTATTAAAACAATAAAATTTTCATGGACAATTTAAAGGCCAATGTTATTGTTCTTACAGCCTCAGTGTTTATAAACCTGAAATTGCATTCAATAAATGAAATTTTGTTTTCAAAAATTATTATACATGTCGTTGTGAAAGAAAAACAAGCTTACATTGAAAGGTTATTCTTTTATTCGGCATTGTACTTGCAAATAAATAGATCCCGCTGTAAAGGCACCCCTCCTTGATATTATAGCATCGCACTCGATGAGCTCGCGTAGTGAGTCGATGCTTATGCCTCATTTGCATGTTTTTAGTTGGCACATAATAACTCGTGGTCGTCAGCATCGCTATTAAAAGAACAAGCAGCAATCCTATCCTCATAACATGCAATAGATTTTCCCATATACATCTACAGAAATTAAAAGATTAAAAAATAAATGATTCATCATTTTCAAAAAAATTCAGTAACACCTCTCCTATATGGAAAGACTACCTAAAATTTTTAAACTTGCAAATAAACAACATATATGCCACAAATCAGTTGGTTTTATTCAATTTCTTCTAACAATCTAGCATAATTCAATTTTATAGAAAATTTTTATTTTTTACATGATAATATTTGTAATCCTAATTTTACAAAAAAATATCTAAATTTACAAAAGTTCAAAATAATAACTATGAGTGTGTTTTGGAAGATTGGGCATGTATAATCATTTCTAAAATTTATATTAACTACATTAATTGATGATGAAACAATGAATTTAAAATTTTGAGATAACTTGAGTTATTTTTAAAATTAATAAAAAAACAAATGGAGCATAATACCAAAAAACATAAAAGATAAAAAACTAGGTGAATCTTTAAAAACTGGGCTAATCGCTACATTATAGGTAGGTAAAAATTATCCCATATGCAAAAAAATTTCACAAGATGTTAGTGTTTTAAAAAACTCAAAAAAAAATTAAATTTTATATCACATAACCAACTGGGTCAAGTAACTTAGACCGAACTTAAAATATAAGAAATGAACACCTACCATTATAAAGAAAAGTTGAAAGTGTATATGTATATATACATATAAGATAACAAAAAAAAACATCAAGTAAAAAAAAGCATCAAGAAAACCCAGTAATTATTCTTGATCAATAAATCAACACATAATTTAAGGCATGAAATTGAAATGATATTATAAATAGAAAAGAAAAAAATACCAACAATTTTTTTTTTGAAAAAAGTACTTTAAAACAAAATTAAAGAATTTCAAGGGTAATGAAATAATTAAATTGTTCATTGTAAAATATAATTACTATAATATCCTTAGATAAAAAATTATAATTTTTAATTTTTAAGATCAATATAGTAATTGTATTGTTATAAAAAAAATAAAAAAAATATTATTACCTCTAAATAAATAAAAAATGATAAATTAACGTCCCGCAAAAACCATTTTACCGCAATTCAACAGTTATAATCCACCGTAACCAAGAACATATAAAAAAGACATATCTACAGTAATTTTCCACGGGTTTAGGATTGTTATTCTAAAGACAATGCTGTCTTACCTTACTGACACACTTAAAAACCTTGGATTTGTCTTTAAAAGAATCTGGATTTGCTCGTTGCAAAATCATGTTTGCTAGGTTTTCATCCTTCAAGATTGTTATTCAAAAGACAATGCTGTCTTACCTTACGGACACACTTAAAAACTTTGGATTTGTTTTTTAAAAAATCTGGATTTGCTCCTTCCAAAATCATGTTTGCTAGGTTTTCATCCTTTTTCGAAGTTAAAAAACCTAATAAATCAGTATTATTGGTCTCGTGAGGGTATTAAAATATATTTTATTTAAAGATATATTAAAATAATATAAAATTATTTTTAATATAATATATTAAAACAATTTAAAAATATAAAAAATTAAAATTTAACCAAAAAAGCAAGAATTAGTTGTGAACGCATTAAAAGGTCAGTATGGGTCCAGATTGTTAGGTGAGTGTCACATCAACAAGGTCTTCGTCAAGAACCCGAAAACTCCTTCCCAAGAGAATTCATTATCTTTCCTTGTGGAAAAGAACTGGTCAGTTTGTCACTGGCCTGTGAACGGTGGACACCAAGATTTGTCCTTTCCTCTCTGTATAAAGAAGAATAAAGTGGAAACAGAGGCAGGCAACTTCCTCCGCCGTGTTAGAAAGGAAAGGGAGACTGCTTTACTGGAAGCTTCCGGTATGGGAGAGGCGGGAATGACTCTAAAAGAACTTGGAAGAGTCTTTCCGAGTCCTCCCATACCGCAGATTTCCAGTAGTTCCTCCCTTTACTTATCTTCACTGTTCCAGCAGCTCTGGATCACCCAGATCTATCGTCCTGTGAGGTAGATCTTGTCAAGTCTGATGCTTTGCTCATATCGTACATAGCCAAGTCTCTTAGCTAAGGTTCTTCTGCTATCTATTTTTTCTGACCATGGTTTATTTATTTATATATATATATATATGTTTTGAGAATTTTACTGTGATTTGAAGGGATACGAGCAGTCGATTCTCTGCAGAAGTTCTCCAGTTTGTTCTTGGCAACAGTAGCATGGAGGAGATGCCCGCTTCCTCATGGGAGAATCCTTTTGCTAGAGTTTTAGCTAGAATAACTAGAAGAAAGCTATTTTAGCCTGCTCATGCTCTCTGAAACAGGGAGTGAGTTTGCAGAGAGTCTTCTTGTATACTGAAGTTCATACTGAAAATTAATGATTTTAATTGCCTTTCTTCTTTCAATTCTTTGAAAGATCAAAAAAAAAATTGATGCTGTGGTCTTCACGTCTGATTTGAACATCAATCTTTTCAAGAAAAAAAAACAATTAGATATAATATTAGTCTCTGAAGACAAGGAAGATTTGAGAAACTTCAGGTGAAGATTCACTAAGATGGTTTTCTAACGAATCAAGACAGTTAATAAGAAATTTCGAACGCCGAAAATGCCTTCACGGCAGAATGTTTTATTTTTAATATTAGTATATTAAAATCATTAAAAATATATATAAAAATATTAATCTAAAACTAAAAAAATAATCAGAACTTTTGAAGAGCTTGGTTGCACGAGTTTATCATCTGATGATTCATGTTTATATCAAAGCCTTTAAGCATCACCGTAGTAAAACATGAGTTCAGGTTTTCTAACGAATCAAGGCAGTTAAAAAGAAATTTTTGACTGAAAATGCATTTTTTACTCTATAATATAAATCTCTTAAATTGTTACAAATATTTACTGTAATTTATATGATATTAAATTTTAAACTTGGTCTCATTGCATTTCACAACAAAAAAAATACTTGGCCTCATTGCATTTCACAACAAAAAAAAAACTTGGCCTCATTGCATTTCACAACAAAAAAAATACTTGGCCTCATTGCATTTCACAACAAAAAAAATACTTGGCCTCATTGCATTTCACAACAAAAAAAATACTTGGCCTCATTGCATTTCACAACAAAAAAAAAATACTTTAAATATGTTTGGTATTGTTTAAATATGTTTGGTATTGTAATAGCTAATTATAATTTTTTTTATAAACTATATTTTTTATTAAAATTATAGTTAAAATTGAAATTAAATAAAAAATAATTTAATATACTTGATTAAAAGAATGATTTTTAAATTAAAGTTATATATATATAATTATAATTTTTAATTTAAATATTATAGATTTAATTATTATTATAAAATATATAATATTGATATCTTTTTGTTTGATCAAATTGTGTAAATATATATTATTAAGTGTTTTTCTTTTATTTTTTTAATAAAATATATTAAAAAAATTAATTTTTTTAATTAGTTAAATTTAATTCAATATATTTAATTTTAAACTAGATCATGTTCGGCGAAACAATGAAAAGAAAAGCCAAGTGAATTTAAATATTATAGATTTAATTATTATTATAAAATATATAATATTGATATCTTTTTGTTTGATCAAATTGTGTAAATATATATTATTAAGTGTTTTTCTTTTATTTTTTTAATAAAATATATTAAAAAAATTAATTTTTTTAATTAGTTAAATTTAATTTAATATATTTAATTTTGGCGAAACAATGAAAAGAAAAGCCAAGTGTTTTCCTCTTGTGTTAACACCCCTCCCCTCCCTTTTACCAAAATATTATATGCCTCTCTTTATCTCTTTTTTTTCGTTTATCATACCTTACACAGATTCAAGTTTTATTTCTACGAATATGAACAAATAATATTGATTTTCAACACGGCAACCATTTTTCTTTTCTCTCTATGTTGATGATGACACCAAACATTCAATATTCGTAAGTGGCCGAAGAAAACTTGACTGTGACATCCATATAGTTGTTTTTTTTTAATTACCAGTTGGAACAAAAATGCAACAAGAAGCATGAAAAAATTGCTTCATCAGAATATATGGTTATTGTTTTTTTAATGGTTTTCATAAGCCAAACCACAGCTACTATTTATAACTAAATACTAGTTTTATTAAGTAAAAAAAAAATATAGCACCTATTGTTTGCCCAAACACCCTCTTTATAGCTAAAAAAGAAGTGTGCTGAGTTACCAATGATATATAATTTCATTTGAATTTACTTGAAAGTAAGTTTTTTTTTTTTAAGAAAAAGTTATTTGTATTACATTTTGTTCCTTGCTCTTTGAGAAAGTTATAGTTTGATCCCTAAAGTTAAAAGTAATTATTCAATCAGGTCCATTTGAATAGAAAAGGGACAGGCAATAGACTAATTGTTACTTGAATGAACAAACATTCCCAGCGATTCAAGTCTGATCATCTAAAATCCTTTCCATGCCGGGTAGACTATGCTTATTGAGCACATCACTTTGATTTTGAAATAATATTAGCAACAATAGGCAAGCTTTTCAAAATCATAGCATCAATATATTTTATTGGGCAGATCAATATCTGGCCTAATATGTAAGAAGTCAAAAAAAAAAAAAAACCAGCTTTATGATACATAGATTCAAAACTTAATTGATTTATTTTCTAGTATAATCTGATGTAAAATTAGAGTTAATTTAGAGTTAGATTTGGTTCTAACCTAGTTAACAAATCTACCTTATAAAAAATGACTGATATTTTATTTTAAAAAATTAAATCTAAATCATTTTAATTTTTATATAAAAAAATGATTAACTTCGACTAATCTAAGTTAATGTGATCTGGGCCTTAGCTAGCTGAACCCCGAGGCTCCAAATAAAAGTTTACGTTTTGGAGAAAAATCGTTGTCTATCCATCCAGTGCAGAGGGAAAACCCATTGAGGTAAACTCTAGCCCATCCATTCTTTGAATTTTAAGAGAAGGCCTAAGAAATTTCAAACAAAACCCACCCAGTCAAAACACAATCCTCCAGATCACATTAGCGAAAAACACCAAACATTATCTAACGTGCACTGGGGTCAGAAATTAGGGTTTAAGGAATTCCAGTAACAGCTTTGAGGAGCAGACATATGACACACCCTCACATGTATAAATAAAGCTATTTACTCAACTTTGATGCATGTTCTTGTTGATTGCAAGGGCTCTCAACCGTATAAAAGAACCTCCTTTTTTCGCTTCTTAAGAGTTTGTCTTTTGTTGACAAAAGCATAAGAGCAATGGCAGGAGAAGATCTGGAAGATTATACCATTATTAAAGAAGGAGAGGCTGAGATACTTATGAATGTTAAAAACCAAGTGTTTTACAACAAAACCCAGGTGCCAAAATCTTGTCTTCTGTTCTTTTGTTGGTTGTTTTATTGTAAATTTGTCTAAATGAGATGTAAAGTTCGAATCTTTGATTTGCTGGATGGTAAATCCGGTTTTTTGAATTGGAGTTTTGATGGGGTATTGGTTTTAGTTGGAGAGCTCTGGTTACTGTTTAATGGAAATATCTTAGGTAGAGGAACTAAGGTGTAATTGGTCAAAGAGAAGATTCTCAAAGAACTAGTCAAGAAGCCTTCTATCATAAATCAATATGCGGGGTTTTGATTGTCTCTTCAGTGACTGATTTACAACTGGTATTTTCACATGATAATGTAGTCTCCTAATTTTTCTTTTCCGGAGTTCAAAAATTTTGTTGTGGTTGCTTTACTGCTTCTGTGCATTGTGCAATTAGAGGACCCTCATGATTTGATTCTGTATTGCCAGGTTAACAACAGAGATTTGTCTATTGCTGTCCTGAGGGCGTTTGTCTCCAAACGCAAAGAGGAGCATGAAGCAAAGTTGTCCAAAAGAACAAAAAGAGCTGATAAGGCATCTGGCAAGGATGCATCTGAGCTTGCTGTAGAAGAATCTAATGGGTCTGCTTTGGATAATGAAAAATCTAATGTTGAATGCGAAGTGCACAAAGAGATATCTCAGGTTGAACCTTGCAGCATTTCAGAAGAACCAATGAAGGTCGAAGAGGGAAATCATCGAGGAGAGCTGAAGCCACCCAAAGTTCTTGAGGTTCAATATCAGATCTCTTATTTCTATATATTTTCATGCTCTCTTAATTAGTATTTGTTGTTATCAGTTCCTTTGTTATCATTTTATAGGATTATCAAATCACTTTGCAAGTACTTCCTTTCTGGATACGCAGGCATTGTCAGCTTCTGGGTTAAGATCTCTAAGATATGCTTGTGAGGTAGAAGGGATTGGTAAAGTAGTGGCCTTGGATAATGATAAAGGTAAATATTTTGGATGCTTGACTTCTGGAAGCCTTTACCTGTTCCTTGATTTTGAAAAGACACATTCTTGCACAAAATGGCCCTAGAAAAAGATCAGGAGGTTGCTTCTATATCAGATGCCCATTAATGTAGACATTCTCTCACATATAAGTGTATTGTGTACCTTTATACGGCCACAATAATAATCTGCTTAACAGGAGTTTTATTCTGTCATTTTCATCCTGCAGCATCAGTTGAAGCTTGCCAGAAAAATATTAAGTTCAACGGTTCGGTGGCAATTTCAAAGGTCGAATCACATCTTGCTGATGCTCGTGTATATATGCTTACTCACCCCAAAGAATTTGACATGGTATGCATTTTATTTACTTGTTTAATTTATCTTTCTGAAAATCTGCTTCCCTATAGAAAATGTCTTTTGTCAGTTCCTAGCAGTTTTTCTGTTTATGTAAAAGCAGAAAAAGGAAAAAACTCTACTGCTCATTGGTTTAGATTGTTTCAGGTTGATCTCGATCCTTACGGATCACCTTCAGTATTTTTGGACTCTGCAGTTCAATCTGTTGTTGATGGTGGAATGCTGATGTGTACAGCAACTGATATGGCAGTGCTCTGTGGAGGCAATGGCGAGGTTTGTTACTCAAAGTAAGATTACAGTCTTTACCTTCTTGTTAACCATTCTTTTCCGAGACTGGTGGCATACCTTTTAACAAATACTTGTGGAATTAGGTATGGTTCTTACCCATTGAGAGGGAAATACTGCCATGAAATGGCCTTGAGGATCCTCCTTGCCTCAATTGAGGTACATCCATGCTCTTGAAAATCTCCCATTTCTTTTTTCCTTTTGTAGAACATAGACAAGCTATTTATATGCTTTTGGTCTAAAGAAACAGCACACAAATTGTGGGTAATATGAGCACCGAGAGTATCCTACTTGAGCTGGAGATTCTTTTTTTTAATAATTAATTGTTTGGTCTTCTGCAGAGCCATGCAAATCGCTACAAGCGCTACATTGTTCCTATTCTGTCTGTCCAAATGAACTTTTATGTTCGGGTTTTTGTTCGTGTGTACACGTAGGTAGCCTGTTTATTTTCATTAACGTTTGCTAAATATATAAGATGGCACTTCCATATCTAGCTGACTGAAACTGAAATTGTTGACTGCAGTTCTGCAAGTGCAATGAAAAACACTCCTCTTAAGCTCTCGTATGTTTATCAATGCATTGGTTGTGATTCTTATCATCTTCAACCTATTGGGAGGACTGTCTCCAAGGTATGCATCCTGTTTCAATGTCACTTGTGCTTAGTTATTTACACACATGGATGCATCCAAATTGATTTAATTTTCCATTCCATCACTTTATTGGTGATCTTGCTTCTCTTCATTTTTTCCTTCTACCATGGCTGACAATAGTTTAGGATTGGTTGAGTTTAAGTGAGGGGACCATTCCAGCATTATGTGGCCAATTTGGATGTGAGCTCACAGGTTGGCAAGTTTGAACAATCCCTTTAGTGCCATTCCAACCTGATGAGCTCTGTTGGTGGGAATCTAATTGAGTTTGAAACGTGAATTAAAATCATTGGGCACTAACAAATAACATTTTAATACATGGAGAGTGTCTATGCTGCATGTGTTGACCTGCCCAGTTAAAATGGAATGAGCTGTGCCTGTTGGTTTGTATCGAATTCTATTGGTTGTAAAATATCTTGACATCTTTCATAACTTTGTTGACAGAAGAAAGTTTATAAATCTTTTGGCTGTTCTGGATAAGCAATTTTATATTCTTAATTTTTCTAATTTATGAAAAAACAATCTTAAATTGTTCACCATCGAATATTGCAGTGACTTGTATATATCATTTGATTTTACTTTTCAGGATAGCAGTGTAAGATATCTACCTGGGTTTGGTCCTGCTGTTCCTCAAGAGTGCAGTGACTGTGGGAAGAAATACAATATGGGTGGACCTATATGGTCTGCTCCCATTCATGATCAAGAATGGGTGACTTCCATACTCAAAAGTGTGAAATCAATGAAGGACCGATATCCTGCTTATGATCGCATATCAGCTGTACTGACAATGATATCTGAGGTTAGTTCCTGTGCTCTTTTTTTGGCCTTGTTTCAGTTTTCTTCAGCTATTCCATTTCTTTGCTAGTGCAGGGCAAAGGGTTGAACTGCCATAATTTCAATGGTGCTGGAAATTTGGCACGGGAGATGTATTGGTTGGATTTATTGCTTTTAATGTTTAAGATGCATTTTTGCTCTGTATTGGTTGGATTTATTGCTTTTAATGTTTAATATGCATTTTTGCACTTTAAGTTCTTGCCTGATTCTCCTGGAAAAATGATTATTGGTGTTTGTATTCCAACTAGCAGTTCAGTGAGCTGCATTTGTGTCATTATAATTTGTAGCATTAATCTTTCAAAAGAAAGAAAGGAGTAAAACAAAAAAAAAATAAAAAAATAAAAGATATGTTTGCTTCATTTAATAGTGTTATTCATTGACTTTTCTTTCCAAAAATTTATATTCTGAAAAAGAAATGATTAAATATTCTTTTTTCAAGTTTGCTATGCTTTAAACACGGAGGGGAAATTCATAATATATTTATCTTTACTACCAGTGTCTTAATGATATAGTTGTTCTTATTCCAATTTTACTGTTTGCAGGAATTGCCTGATGTTCCTCTCTTTTTGAGTCTGCACAACCTCTGTGCAACACTAAAATGTACCTCGCCATCTGCAGTAATTTTCCGTTCTGCTGTGATCAATGCAGGATATCGTATCTCTGGGACGCATGTAAATCCCCTGGGGCTAAAATCAGATGCCCCCATGGATGTCATTTGGGACATAATGAGATGCTGGGTAAGACACATGTCCAAGGATTTTCTTCTTGTTTTGCCATCATAATCCCATACAACGTTGTTTCTTTGAGATTATCTGATTCATGGGAGGCAAATAACAAAATGGGAGTTCACTGATGCGAGCGCCTTTTTGTCTTAGAAAGGTGTTTTACTACGGCCTCACCATGCATGTGCATTTGTGTATTTTTCTTTATTGAAAAAAAGGTTTTTTTTTCCTTCCTGATGCATAAAGCTAAAATAAATTGAAGTAATAGCAACCTGTTTGAGCTTGACTTTTCTCCTTTGGAACATAATAAGATGCTGTGTTAGGACTCTTGTCTGAGGTTTTACTTGGCTTCCTGCTATGCCTTCATAATCCCAGTTAATGTTGTTTTCAATGATTATCTGATTCATGGGAGGCAAATAACAAATTGGGAGTTCGCTGATATCACCTTTTTTGAAAAGGTGTTTTACTAGTACCTCACCATACATGTGCATTTGTGTATTTTTGTTTATTTTTTTTTTAAATGTTTTTTTCCCCTCCTGATGCATGAAGTTCAAATAAATTGAAGTAATAGCAACCTGTTTGAGCTTACTGGACTTTTCTCCTTTGGAACATAATAAGATGCTGTGTCAGGACTCTTGTCTGAGGTTTTCCTTGGCTTCCTGCTATGCCTTCATAATCCCAGTTAATGTTGTTATCAATGATTATCTGATTCATGGGAGGCATATAACAAATTGGGAGTTCGCTGATATCACCTTTTTTAAAAAGGTGTTTTACTAGTACCTCACCATACATGTGCATTTGTGTATTTTTGTTTATTATTTTAAAATAAGGTTTTTTTCCCCTCCTGATGCATAAAGTTCAAATAAATTGAAGTAATAGCAACCTGTTTGAGCTTCCTGGACTTTTCTCCTTTGGAACATAATAAGATGCTGTGTCAGGACTCTTGTCTGAGGTTTTCCTTGGCTTCCTGCTATGCCTTCATAATCCCAGTTAATGTTGTTGTCAATGATTATCTGATTCATGGGAGGCAAAGAACAAATTGGGAGTTCGCTGATATCACCTTTTTTAAAAAGGTGTTTTACTAGTACCTTACCATACATGTGCATATGTGCGGGCTTTCTCTCTTCTCTTTCAGAAGAATTTCCTTCCTGTTGCATTGAGTTCAAATAGATTGAAGATGATGGCAATTTGTTTGAGTTTCCTGCAATTTTCGTTCTTCTTTGTTGACATAATATGATCCTGGATAAGGACTAATGTCCATGGTTTTCATTTACTTCCTGTTATGCCTTCATAATCCCAGTTAATGTTGTTATCAATGATTATCTGATTCATGGGAGGCAAATAACAAATTGGGAGTTCGCTGATAGCACCTTTTGGAAATAGAAAGGGGTTTTACTAGTACCTCACTGTACATGTGTGTGTGTGTGCACTGTTCTTTCTAAAATAGAAAAGGTTTTCTTTCTTAAGCCTGTTATTTAAATTAAAATTGATTGATGAAGGAAGCAATTTGTTTGAGCTTCCTGTGTTTTTCTCTTTTTTCTGTGGGACATATTATGATCCTACTTCCTTTTTCCCCTTCATAATCCCAGATACGGGTGTTTTTGTGGTTATCTGATTTAGGGGAGGCAGAAAACATAATGGCTATTCTCTGATAGCACCTTTTGGTCTTAGAAAGGTGTTTTACTAGTGCTTTACTATACAAATGCCTGCTTTTGGCTTCTTTTTTTCCCCTTAAAAAAAAAAGAGTTTTCCTATTCTTCCTGGCTAACGAGGTTAAAATGCATCGAAGAATTAGCAATTTGCATGAGCTTCCTGGATGTTTTCCCTCTCCTCTTTTGGACATAATGGGATGCCGGGTGAGGACTTGTGTCCACTGTTTTTCCTATCTTCCTGCTTTGCCTTTGTGATCCCAGATGTTTAGTTTTTTGGTGGTTATCTGATTCATGTGAGGCAAATAACAAAATGGGAGTTTGCCAATAGCAACTTTTGTTGTTTGAGAAGGTGTTTTACTAGTACCTTTCCGAATATGTGTGCGTGCACGCCCGACACATTCGCTTTTAAAAAGGGTTTCCTGTTCTTGCAGATGCATAATCTTAGAATAGATAGAAGGATTAGCATTCTGTTTGAGCTTCCTGGACTTTTCTTTCTTCCTGGTGACATAAGGAGATGCTGTGTAAAGACTTTTTGGGTGGCTATCTGATTCATGTGCGTCAAATAACTAAAAGAGCTTGCTAATATCACCATTTTATCTTAGAAAAGGTGTTTCACTAGTACATCTCCATACATGTGTCTGTGTGTGCGTGTGCAATTTTTATTTTTGAAGAATAAAAAAGTTTTCCATTCCTTCCAGACATGTAAAGTTAAAATAGATTGAATAAATTAGCTATTCGTTTTAGATTGCTGTAGTTTCTTTCATTTTTCTTTTGGTGTTCTCTCATTTCCCTTAATATTTTGCATGTGATCTTCTTAAGATGATTTTTAGAACTGTGTTCTCTTGTTTGGAGTATTGGAAAATGGAATGATCTACATGTAAAAGACAACAGCTTTTTCCTGCTGCTGAAAGCACTCTTGATTATTAAAGGGTTATGTATCTTCATGTAGGTGAAAAATCATCCTGTGAAAGCTCAAGCCCCTGATCAGCCAGGCAGCGTGATACTTGCAAAAGAACCAGTTCTTCAAGTATGTTTGTTTCCCAAGCTGCAGATCTAGATTTTTTTTCCTTATAACCTAAGTTGTTAATTCAATGTTAAACCAATTATTGAACAATTGCCCACATTTGTAATTTGCATGTGCAGTACACACACTTCCCTGTGTTGTGGATGATTATCATCTGGCTGAGTTTTCTTACCTTTTGTTTCTTCTTACCTAGGCCAACTTTGCCCGAGCAGTTGCATCTCTTAGCAAGGCACAAGCCAAGAAAGTCGCACGTTTCCTTCCGAATCCTGAAAGACATTGGGGGCCAAAACTAAGGGCAGGTCGTCAAATTACCAGCAAGCACATTTCTCTTTTGGGTCCAGAGGCAGTGAATGAACATCTTAACCATGAAAACAGTGAAGAGCCTAAAGCCAAACGTCCAAAAACAGTTGATATCAGTGATCCTACCTCAAGCTCTTAAGAATTAAGCCTTTTGATGCTACAGAAGTTCTGTTTTCATGTTCTCTGCATAGCAGGTGGTTTCACATACTAGTAAATTCTCAGAAGTTGAGAAAATTTTTGGTGAATGTGGAAGCAATCTTGTGTTTCTTATCCATAGAACAGCTTGCCATTTTTTAGTGTCAGATGCTATTTATTACATTATATATTCTTTTGCTTTGGTTAATCCACTGACAGTTTAGATTTTTTAGAAACTGTATAGAGCCTGCAAGGCATTTTGATTTTTAGAAATACATTGGAGCAATATTATTTTATTATTTAAAATTTATTTTTAATATTAATATATCAAAATATCTAAAAGATATTTAAATTTTTATAAAACTATTTTTTAACAGCAAAAAAACAAAGGAGCATGACCATAAGTGTGCTGGGTGCCTATGGACGATTTTTTTTTGAGATTCAACTTATGATTCGCAATAATTGACCACAGAATTTTCAAAGGGAATTGACTGCATATTTTTCTTGGCTCATCTGACTCGTTATTTGCGTGAAACTTAAGTCTGGCATCGTTTGACGATTCTTGTTCGTGAAGTCTTAACTCGCACCTTCAAGGTCTCAGTCTTGGTGGAATCTATCTTCATCTTCCGTCTCTAATTTCTTTTTTTAATATTGGATATCTATATGCACCTCAACTACGTCTTTACCTCAATGATCATATAAATTTTTAATTCAAACTAAAAACCTCTAAAAAAAAATAATCTAAAATCTGATCTGTTAAATTATAATTTAAACAGTACCATCGCCACTTTAGAACATACCAGGCATGATGAAAGAATTTATGGTGCCAAGGTCACAAATAAAGCATGCCGTCGGACATCATATAATAAGTGTACATCTTCAACCTCCATGACAATTAATTTGTGATTGTGTTTGTTTAATATTATAATGTGTTTATAAATATATCAAAATAATATTTTTATTGCACCCAGCTGATTGATGAATGGAAAAAGACAAGGAATGAAACAAGAAGCCTCTTCCACTAAGCTTTTGTTTCTTAACACCTAGTAAAAGTTCAAGATAATCGTCTTAACCTTACCAAATCCAAGAAGCATATTGTATTACTAAACTATCTGCATCTTATTCATGTGAGCAAGAAGTTAATAAATTAAAAATGAAATAGAATACGTCCACCAATACGATAATCCAAGCATCGGCCACACTGGCAAGAATTAAGGATACAATGACTTCAATAATTAAACTCTTTTTTCTCATCCTGGTTTATGCACCTAATCAAAATCTCACTTAAGCTTGCCATTGGTAGCTTTAGCAGAAGCTCCTGTGGGGTTAAGCTCATCCCAGGCCTCGATCCAAGTAACCATGGCATCAGCAAGCTTATCAAAGTAAGGATCAACCTTTCCAAGCTTTTCCTTAACCTGCTTGGACAGCTCAATGTAGCACTTCTGAACAGTGGTGCAGTCTTTTGAAAGAGTGGCAGCTTGGAAGAAGGGAATGATCTCTTCCTGCCAGAAGATGCCTTTGTACTCCTTCTTTAGGTTCACAAATGGGTTGCTAGCCTTGCTGTGATAGATATATGGCAAACCAGTCTTCACTCCTAGTCCCAAATGATCACAGATAACCTGGAAACAATCATCAATTAAATACCAATAACAATTCTAAAACATATAGAACATGTCTTGCTTTTTATGAAATTGATGCACATATATACCTTGGTACACCAGCCAGCCCACATATCATCGTAGCGACCAATTGGTTGACCATCACCCATGAGACCAAAGTACATGGCGGGGCCAATCAAATCGCGGTCAAAACATAAATTCATACCACACATAGGGAACAAGGTGCCCTTAGGAATGGTCAAAACAGCATCCACGTACCTAATAAATTGCAAGCATGGTATTAAAAACTAAATAAATCAAAGGCACTTCGAGGGCCAAATTAAGTCTTTGCACTCATCAATGGATTGCACACCTTGTGTTCCTCTCAAGAGGCTTGACAAGCTGAGTAGGTGCATCATAATCAGGGATGTTGAGCCACAGGCCATGAGAAACAGCAGTGGGGACACCCTCACGAAGACTGAAGGGGTATCCACGAACAAAATCTGCACCATCTCTGTAAGGATCATAGAGGGTGTTGAAGAAAAATGGAGTTGATGGGGAGAGAATGTTCTTGATGTGCTGCTCAAGTGCATTTATAGCTTTACCAGATGGATCCTTAGCAACCTAACCACATAGTTAACAGTTAAACATCTATATTTTTTTGTTGAATAGATAAAGTGATGCATTCAAATTGTGACGAGTCAGGATTTTTATATCAAAACATGGTGAAATAAAATGAAGTTTTTTTTTAAGTATAGTTTTAAAGAATACCAACCATCTAGAAAGGATACTTAAGCACATGGAGTTAGTATAAAACAACTGATTAATCATGTGGGGATTTATTTTTTTATGAGGGCAAGCGGAGCATTTAGCTTTCAAATCCGATGTTTATTCTAAACAAGGATCCACAATCAAAAAAGAGAAAAAGTAAAGCTTCCTTCCGTTATCAATTAGTAAGAACATGTGAAATCACAGACAATTCAAAATTATACCAGATCAGAATTCATAGCTGTCCATCACTGCAATTTGCAACCAAATATTTGTCAATTACAAATGGCATATTGCTATGATACCTCTTTGTGCAAAGTTGTAAACATTGCTTCAGCTTTCCATGCATGGGCCACTTATTTGAATTTGTATAACAAATCCAACTTGATTAGGTGTGAGATAATGATGTGAGTTGTCATAAATAATACAAAACCCAACATAGTCAGATCCCAAGTTACAAGAACATGTCACAATGTCTAGAGAGATTTCACATCATTACTTCAAATCTAATATGGCAGGATCATAGAAACAGAACATAAAAGGATATTTAGGTAAATTGGACTGAAAACCCCAATTTCACAAATGCCACTATCAAACTAAAAAGGAAGCAAGAACCAAAACATAATTCTAAGGATCCTGCAGTTTTTTATTTGATTTACATGTTCAATTAGGACTTCAAACCATAAATCTGTAATGTGTGTCAATTCAAACTTTCTGAAGACAGTTTAAAACATGATTATGCCAATGTATATCACTTAATAAAATGTACTACAACTCACTCACAATTATGAAGAAGAAGATACAGAAATCCACTGATAGAGAAGCTTTGCAGATCAAAAACATACTACAGTTACAGAATTAGTATAAGGAGATTTAAAAATCATAAACCTGCGATGTGTCAATTGAAGTTTATGGAGAAGATTTAAACATGATTATGCCAATTTATATCGCTTAACAAAATGTAGTACAAATCACTCACAAATGTGTTTACGAACAAAGAGAAATCCACCGACAGAGAAGCTTTGTAGATCAAAAACATGCAACAGTTACAGAATCGGCATATAAATTTATCAACAAACATAACATAAACAGATCCAAAATCAAGGAAATCCAAGTCACAGAACAGATCAAATCTACCTTTAAATTAAGAAAGATCTAAACTTTGGCCTAAAAAAACCAAAATCCAGATGCAGAACACCCTAAAAAATAATAAAAAGGAGAGAAAAAATCAGAGATCGAAATAACTTACAAAGCAATCATCATCAATAGTGAAAATATACTTCTTCTTAGAAACCATGTAACCAAAGCAACGACAAGCAGAGTCCTTGAAAGAGATACAAGAGGCCTTGGGACCAAGAATCTTGTTGATATCATTCCTATTATAAAGCTCATAATCAAAACCCTCAGGGACCTTAATAGTCTTGGATGGATCACCGTCTTGAACGATGATAAGATGGTATGGCTCAAAGAATGGCCTCCACATCTCCAAGAAATCCAAGTTCCTTATGGTTGGTATAACAATGTCAAGCTCATCTTTCAACAAAGGCACAACCTTTGTTGCTGTTTTTGTGTCAGTTGCAGGTTCAACCATTGTTAAGGAGAGTAAGAGAGACACAGAGGAAGGGAGGGAGGGAGAGAGTTTTAGTGCAGAGAAGGAGACGAGCGTAGAGGGATATGTGAGCAAGGAGGTGTGTAATGTGTATATATAAGGAGAGGTGTGGCCTGGCACGTGCAATGCCGTGAAATGTGGCCGAAATGGAGGTGAAGTAGGAGACGTGTCTGAAGGTTCAAGGGTGGAATGTGAGAGAGAGGGGGGCGGGGACTAGTTCAAAAACACAGACGAGGTTGCTGGGGACTAGGGGTCAGTCACCCAA